GGGCAGCCCCCGATCTGCCCTTGGCGGCCCATAAGGGCATCATCCACCGTTCCCCCCCAAGCAGGGGCTGCACCCCCAGTGGGCAACGTCCTGACCAGCCCACCCTTGAGGTAGACACCTGATTTTAAATATAAAAATAAATCCCACAGATTGCTGGGTGGAACTTGGAGGATTTAACATTAAAGCCAAGTGTTTCGGTGTGAATTCCAGGTTTCTTGTCATGACAGTTTGGTCTGGGCTTTCAGGATGCGCTCCTAGGCTGGCAAAAACAAGTCTCTGGGTAAGCAGACTGACTCAATAAAGATTGACTGTATTTTTAAAAAAGGGATTTCACACTTTACAGAAAGGGAAAGATCTTAGCCACAGTCGCAAGCGGATGGGAAAGAATGAGATTTCCAGCCAAAAAACTTGGTAGCAGATCATGAAACGGGCTTGTGATGCAATGGCAGTGGGTGCGCGGACATCACCAGTGTGGAAACGCACGAGGACACGGCAAGAGGCAGAATATGGAAACAGGCTCAAAATATGACTAGAAGCTAGTCTCTTGTTTTTCTGAAGCTATGAGGGCCTTTTTGGTAGGTTTTTGGAGAACACGTGAAGTCCTACTGGACACACACCGGGCTGCTCACAGCAGCAGTGCTGCTCACAGGGCGGCGCTCGAGCTGACTTTACGGAAGACGAGTTTGCCCTCGGTGACTCGGGGACAGCCACAGTGGGTTTTCCTTCAGTTTCCCCGGTGCCTGTATTATTTCTCAAATCCTTTTTAAAACTGAAAACACCACGTCTGCTGGGCTACTGCATACTGCTCCGGAGCCTCAGCGAGTCCAGCGCTCGCAGGGAGCAGCGCAGGCAGCACGTGAACTGACCCATTTTCGCTCTTAAACACACCAACACATGACTCAATGTTCAGTTCGGCAAGACAGAGACACCTCTCTCCGCTAACGCAGGGAAGCCACTCCGGCTACTCAAGCGGCAACTCCATGAATGCAAATCAGGTTGGGATAGCCAATAAAAGAATATTGCATCAATTTATTTCACGTCCATGGACACAGATGGGACTTTATAGCGAGCTGCATTCAAAGAATTTGCATGCAATCGCACAAGTGAAAACCATCTCAGCAGCGTGGCGAGGCCGACGCGCAGCACAGACCGCGCTCCTGAGTGAAATGAGGGGAAAGGGACTCTGCGTGCCAGGGGTGCGGGCGCACGTGAGGCTGCCCAGGCGCTCTGCCTTCCAAGCATTAATCCCTCATTACAGGTCTGGCAGGGCTGGAGTCATAGCAGGGTATTTCGCCGGGTTTTTTTCAACACCAGCTTTAGGCATCCTTCGACGCAGAAGGAAGTGGGGGAGTACAGAAAGTGTAACTGTGACGGCAGTAGGTTCGCACCGCTCCAGACCCTGCTGCGAGCCCCGTCCTGCTCCACAGGGTCGGGGCAAAGCTCCCAAACGTGGGGCTGAGGCTACAAATGAGATTCTCCTGCATTTGTACAAGAGCAACTCAAGGCCACTTAAGTGCGTCCATGTAAAAGCAGACGGCCGAGGTGCTCGAAAGCCACCGACCAAATTCCCCCGGTGACATTGGCGCTGTCGGCAGTGGGCAGTGCAGTTCTGGGCCAACTTCATCAAGACTGAGGAGGCGTCAGGAGGGCAGAGGTGGTACCTCAGACCCGTGCCCAGGGTCCCCTCCTCCAGGCATGTGGCTCCCCGTTTCCCAGATGACCACAGATGACCACTGCCCCACTCGACAGCCACCTGAGCTTCCCCCCCGGGGAAACCGCGTCCCACCGAGCCCCCCCCCCGCCAAGCGGAACCGAGGGGCATCGTTACCAGCGAGGACTGCAACGCACGGACTGGGGAGGGGAGGGCGAGGAAGCACGGGCCAGCAGCAGAGCCTGCCCACCCCTCGGAACTGCTCGTGACCGGCGATGCTTTGGGCGCCGGGGTGAGCCCACCACTGCTCCCCAGCCCCGGAAGGCACCGCGGAGAGAGGCGCAAGCTGCGCCTCCTGCGAACAGCCCCCGACAGCCAGTCCTACTGACAGACGGGGATGCAGCAGCAGGGCTCCCGCGGAGCATCCCTCCCCGGGACCAGGCAGATCTTTACCTGTTAATTGAACTGACGCTGGGCACGGTGTCGTTGTCACACACTCGCTCAGCAAGGAGTCTATCCCTGATCTCCCAGGCAAACATGGTGGGATTTTGGCGTTTGTACTCTGCGATTTTTTCAACGACTTTGGGTGTGGCGACCTTTGGTTTTGATCCTCCAATCACTCCAGGCTTAATGCTCCCGGTTTCGTAATACCTGGGAAAACATCCAAAACAAAGCTTTGGTTATCACAAATGGACAGAGAACATGCCTTGAGATTTATAGAGAACATAATTTCAAGGTAACCAGACCCCAGCAAATCCTGAGATACATCTTCACTTTCACATACACATTTTCTGCCTATGTAGTGCTTTATCACCTAACAGATTAACTTATAGTAATTGGAATTGGGCCTCGGGATACAATATATATTTTTCTGTAATAGCAAGACAAAAGAAACAATGCAAGATTAAAAGGCATGCCGGGATCCAAAATTAACTGAAAATGTGTGTTATTAATCAGTGGTACTGGCAATAATAGAAACAAATCACACCAAAGACCACTTTTTGCAGTGGACTCTTTTGTAGTAAATTACTGTTTCTACAGAAATTCTCTGTCATTAATATCTACGGCTTGTTATCGTTTCATAGTGAAATGAAGGCTAAGTATTTTATTTTGTTTGCACCTCCAGAATAAATATGTCGGCACATCTTTTTTCTCATTTTATGGTTTTAATACGCATACTATGGTTTTAATAGTTAATATTTTTCAAAATGTATTCTTTTAAATGTTATATTTTCAGTCATTTCAACAACAAATTTCAAGAAAAAGGGAGCTGCCCATGCCCTGGAGCAGTCCAGCTGACGTGGGGGTCGGTTTCCGCGACCAGCCCTGCAGCCCCTCCTCAGGCACAGCATCCTTCCCCACCCCAGCAGCTCCGCTGGTGCCACACCAGGGAAGGTGGAGGACTGGATCCCTAAACCGACAGATTTCTTCACGTGTACATCGCACAAGAGCCACTGCTTTTGGTAGCGTTGCAACCACCCACCGCAGCTGAGATCCGCGGCCCCACAAGTCCCCCCTTTCACTAACCGAAGCCTTGACCATGCTGCTAAGAGCAGAAGTCATCTCCCGTCCACCAAGGGCTGGAACGGGGACCCAGAGGGAGACGGTGCTCCTTCGTGCCGCGCAATGCTCGAGGCGCTCTCCTGGCCACCCACTTCCATGTATCTCATGAATTTTCTCATCACCAAATAAAAAATAAACCCCATTTATAATAAACCTGCGACCTGCCACAACTGCCGCAGCTGCCCTGACCTGGCATGTCCTCTCCGCACAGAGCAGACCTCGACTCCACGAGCCTTTCAACCAGACGCCCAGCGAGCCGCCTGCTCTCGGCAGCTTAAACATGTCCACTCGGTGCTCAGCGCCCGTATTTATAGCAGGGAGCTCAGAAAGGACTCCCAAGTAAGAACAAGAGACTGCTCATTAATATATTTTCTCTGCAGCTACTTGACATACCCTTTATATGGGAAAAAAAAATTAATTCCCCAATCTTTCCAGCGTGAGCAGAACACAAACAGGCTGCGCAGCCAAAGTCTGTCTCACTGTAACACGCAACCGTTTTCATCAAATCCCTGCCAGGCTACCGGTTTTCAGTCTTTCTGGGAGAGCTCTGTGTGCAGGGCCTAAAATTCCTTTAAAGAGCCTGACACCGTGTTGTTTGTACACATTTTCAGACATTCTGGATGCCGATGAGGACTCAGACCCACCAGTCTCTGTGAGCCATTTAAGCAGTATTAGTAATGGAAAGTGTCAAGTGTCAGAGATGGATTAACCTCCCGGTGTCCCTAAACACAGCGCAGGAGCGAGCCTTCGGGCAGAGGGTGACATTCAGCTCCTCCCGTGCTTCCTGAGGACATGACAAAATGATGGCAAACGTGGACCATACGTTAGCATACCATGCTAAAACCTTGCACCCCCGGCCTCAAAGCCTTCGCTGCTGGCACCTCTCCCGCCAGGAGAGTGCCGAAGGAAGACAGACAATACCACGAACGCTACCAAAGAAAAAAGTCGCAATTTTCTTAGTTCCAGTCAAAGCGGTGGGTTTTTCAAATGTTCCTTAGTGTTTTTCTCCATCAGCGCCTCGCCGCACCACGACATGGTGCGCGTGGTGACCACCCCACGACACAGGACAGCCCAGGCTGAGCCCAGCGTCAGCCAGCAGCT